GCTGGAATCTATTCATCTGCTCATGCTACGATGGGCAGATGCGCCATGCACACCGGCTTCTTCTTCTGGTCCATCTGACGGTTTTTCTCTTATTTTATGGCCCGCTGCAAATGGATATCGGGAGGACTTGTTGAATAGGTGAGTTGCTAGTTCCCTTGTCTATTGGCCACACATTCTACAAAATATGCCCTTTATCTGATTTACTTTATTGCCTCTCCATTAAGCGGAAAGTAAGACCTACAGTCCTTGACTGGCACATCAGTGCATATTCCGTTCGGTCTGGTAGAAAATAATTCCAGCTTTAAGAATTTTTCAGATTTCACTTCAGTGTTTAAAGTCATTTGTGGTGGCAAGTTTGATCAAATAGAAGTGTGCAATATTTCGCAAACATGTAATGGGGATGAGTAGAGGAAAGGACTTTTCGGGTTCGCGATGCCATACAAATCGTTTAGAAGTGCTCCTTTTTACCACATCCCTTCTATAACATTTCGCGTGAGGGGCACTTCGAACGAGTGTGTTTGTTGAACCCACAAAAGAAACACTTGTTGTGGGATGAACTGGAAGCTATAATGTCAGGTATTATATCAGGACTACATGGACTTTCGCACACCTCAGTGACGGCAGTGAATGAGGTCGTCGGAGGGTTCTAGTAAGGCCGATACTGTTTCTACCAATTCCAAAGACCTCGTCATGGCATTGCTCTACCGTAACCGCCTTGACCTCACAGTATTTAGGTAAGAATTTCAGCTTTTGGGCAAACTGATGAAGGGTTTGTCCACCCTCTTGTTTTCAGACTGTTACAAAATGGCGAGCAAAGACGCCGTTTTCCGGTTTTGCTTAGAGGTTTTTCAGCAATCTAGCTTCGTAACTAGTACAATCGCCAGTAGATTTCCAAAGAGTCTGATGGATGTAGTCAGTCAGAACACTCAAATTTTTTTCGGTTTTAAACTCTCGGTCATGGGCATAAAGTTCTCGAACATGTTAAACCAGTCCTTCCATTGTTTGGAGGTCTCTGAAGCACTTGGTATCCACATAGAATCTTTCTAGCCCAAGGACTCAATCCATTCCTTAGTTGTAAGATGAATAGATCGTTGTAATCGAAATAAGCACAATCTCTCGATCAAGTTAGCATTAAAAAACAGACGGAAGAGTCAGCACTGAAGAATACCCTAAAACTGGGCTTTATTAATCTTACAATTCACGTATTGGAGTTAGAAGGAAAAACAGAGTAATAGAGAGATGTAAGCTGGTCAGAGTAATAAGTTAGCATGACACCTAGGGCATGACCTTGTCCATATTCCAATTGGCGTATGGAAACTAAAGCGCGAAACATAACAAGGGCTACTTGGGCGATATCCAAAATCCTGCACTACTGAAGAGGTTCTTAACGGTGTATACTCTATACTTAGTGGTTACCATCTACCTTAAATCGCTTAATCTCGACAACTCAGCTTTATTATGGACAAATGGTTTTGACCTTATTTGATCTCTTGAAAAAAAAACAATGGTCCGCACAGATCTAAAACTTCTTCTTTTGGAGTTTCATTCTGAATTAATTTACTTCACGAATTGTCTTGCTCATTAAACACTTTAGAACTGAGGCAAATATTTTGGGCGTCCCTCTGACCGCTGTAGCGATACTTAATTTCTATAATGATCTAAAAAAACTGCTGCTGGACTTTGTGAAATGACGTGGCTTAGAAGTTTAAGTTTAGCATTCAGGCTGCAGTTAGTAACTCATAATAATTTATGGTTTTCGCCATTTAAGTTGCGTAGGATTTCCGGTGCTGTCTGTGTAGTCTCTAGTTTTGTTATTATGCTTGATAGTTTGTTACTCCTATCAGTGTAGATGGAAACCAGTTAATGCCGCAGATTACTGTACTCGGAGTGGCCTTGCCTCGTGATTGATGATTTGAAGAATAAATGTTAATTTATATTCGCGAAGGCTGGTGTACATTTACCTTTACTCTAAATGATCATGCTCTACCCTACCGTGCAAAGACCAAAGTGCCAAGTATCCTGTCTTGTCATTATCATCGGTCGTCTTTCATTTCGCACCGACTCACGCCAGCCTGTCGGTCGGAAATTACTAAAGCACGTTCACGCACAGAAAAAATGCCACGCAAAATATTTTGGAATGCACTCGGTTTAGTATTGTCCATGGGCTTTCCAGACATCCTAACTTCAGTCTGCCCGCTAGTTTTACGTAAGACCAGCCTTGCGTTTTCCAGCTAAAATCTAGTAATTTCGCTTTGGGTTTCACACTTTGCCCATTTTGTTTTCTACTTTGCCCTTTAGGGATCGTTTTTTATCACTTTTTGTGGCTGCCTCTGTCGTTCTACAACCACAACTGGAAATAGGAGCAAAGATCCTTCTTCTATGGTTACGCACCGTTAACTGTCTCCTCTCTGAATATAAGGACAATCTGTCATCAAATGGCCTTCTACATGGAATATTCTCGAGCCAGGTACCTTCAATCGAGGGCTTTATATGCTGCTTTTATTGGGTAACCCAACATTCACTTTTTTAAACATTCCTGCGGGACAATTAAGTTGTTGTCCAATGAATCATGTACACAGAGAGCTAGCTTAGCACTAACCTTGACGCTTAACACGGCTGGGAAA